GGATACTAATAAAAGATAGCCCCTTTATTATTATAATCCCAAAAACTAAGTTATAAAATCTATAAAAAAAGAAAAGAATAAAATAGAGATTTATATTAGATATATAAGACTTATCAAGTATTAACTAAAAATATAAAAGAAAGTATAATCAAATCAAACACAGAAAAATACTAAGAATTATCCCTAGAAAAAGGTTATAAATATTATAAAGTAATATAAAATAGTATAAAATAGTATAGATTATACTAAGGTACCCTTATAAGGCTAGCTATAGTAAATAGATTATTTACTAATAGTCTTCTTCAAAGGAGTTACTAGAGATCTAGGTAATATACTAAATAAAAGTTTATTATTAAAGGTATTATAGGCGGAAAGTTTAGGCTTATTATAAATAATATCTCCGAACTCTTTAAGTTCTTCCTCAAGAATAGACTTCTTCTTATAATAATTATTCCTCTTCATAAATAAGATAACTACTTAAGATATAGTCTTAACCACATTAAGTATAAAAGGATTCCCCTCTAACTCAGCCTTACTCTTATTAGGATTAAGGATATAGTATTCTATCAGAACTACTACTATTTATATATAATTATAGACTAGTTAAGACTCTACAAGAAAAAGCTAATTATACGCTATTAGTATTGGCTCGAACTTACTAGTTTTAATATAATAATAGATATTATAGTTATCTAATAAAGAAAAGTACTAGTCTATTAGATAAACTAGTCTACTAGGACACTTAATATTAATAGTATAAGTAGATCCTTTTAGACTAGGAAAGGAAAAAGAAGCTACAAGAAAAGAAGATTAGATCTTCTAGATCTTTTATATAAAAGAAAGAACTAGCTTAGTGTAAACTAAAGTCTCCGGAGTTACTAGAGTAAGAATAGTTATATACAGCTTCTTAGAGATAAGAGATATAGTCTTCTTAGAAGAAGACATAGAGATAGTAACATAATACTTTTATAGTATGATTATAGGAGAAGAAGCTTCCTCTATATTATAATTGTCCTCTTCCACAGCTAGATCTTCAACTAGATAGCAAGAGACATAATAATAGGAGGTTAGATAAGCATCCTACATAAAGCAAATAAGGTTCTTAGAAGGATTCTAACGGAAAGAGCATCTACTTATAGTATTCCCGTACACACACAAAGCACAAGAGCCGCTAAATATAACATCTCTACTATTAAGAACCGCAACCATATATAAAAGAAAAGGCCTATAACCTACTAAATAATATATATATAATAGAGAGGTAGCTATCCCGATTTATTAGGTAATATATATACATCTTTATTCTTTTAAATTAACTTTAATATTATTAATATTATACTAATCCACATTACACATAACTAGTATAGCAATAAATATAAGATCGGAAGTAGATTAGAAGTTAAGAAGAAAGATATTACTAAATATATTAATACCTTTGCTATATACAATAGCTTTTATAAATTAAGATCTAACACTAAAGTTCTAGGGTACAATTATACTTATATCAGGAGGTAGAACATCCAATATTTCTATAAGAAACAAGATATTAGCTTATATTCAGCTTAAATAATACTATAAGAATCTGGAATTATACCTATTGGAAAAGAAGAGATATAATAAGATGTTTAGGAAGAGAAGTATAGGAGAAAAAGTATATAAAGGAAGAGAGAGTATAATACAACAATATACAAGAAGGATAGTAAACAATATAAAGATAGTATTAGTAAGCTTTAGTAAATAAGCAGAATCACACTACTAGAGAGAAAGATAATATAATGATAATGGTGATACTAATTACTAAGCTATAATAGGAGGTTGAAGAGAAAGAGGGCTTATAGCTAGAGAAGAGGTTGATACTTTATATAGACCCCCTATAAATAGGAAGCTCCACAAAGCTAAGCAAGAGGCCTTAGGCTAATATAGATGTTTATATAGCCAGAAGGGATAATCATAACACTATTCAACAAACACCATACAACCTATGATCACAGCCTCTCCCTCCATACCATTCACTACATTATCATCAAAACTATCTAGAAAACGATCGGCAGACTACTATTGAGCCTGAGGCCGTCGATTTATATACTAGAAAGACAATTTAAAAGGTTCTACCACCTCAATACCCCCAGGATACTACTATCGTACAACAATCCTTAATATTACTAGTATTCCCTCATATAACATACACTATGTAATGAGACTATCCACTATATAGCTAGATATATTATTATATATTATTGTATAAGATGCTTTATAAATAGCCAAAAAAGCGAGTAATATGGCGCTCTCGAAAAGGCGAATCGTGAATATTTATAATCTCCTATATGTATGATTATACCATAGGTGTTTATATACTATTGCCCTATATGAATACTTAAGATTGAGACAATCTTAGTTAAATAGGGAAGGATAAGATAAATTTACTTAATTCTCCCTATATATTTTATATATTATAATCTATTACGTTCATTTATATATAGTAACATCTATATCTATATCTGTTGCTATCTATCTACAGTTATCTGATCATATATGATCAGATATATCTATTTACTATATTTGTTTACCAGTACATGTATATTAACTGTCGTTTTCCCTAACTTAGTAATACATACCCGTTCGCACCTAAAGATCTCAATCTTAATAAACTTTATTATATATTTATTAGAAAGTAATAGATTTAATACTATCCTAGTAATAGTAGACTAACTTATAAAAATAAGATATTTTATATCCTACTATAAAATTTATAATATTAAAGAAGTCTCTTAATTATATATTTAATATATTTAGAAGTTATATAACTTATTTTATATAATTATATCTAATTATAGACTTTAATTTATATTAGAACTTTAGAAATATTTAATTTAATATTTATAAATTATAAACCTATTATTAATGATATACTATTCTAAGACTAATAGTTAAACTAAATAGATAAATATAATCTTAGAATAGTATCTATAAATATATATCTTATATTTATAAAATAACTAATTAAAATAACTTTTATTAGTTAAATTTACTTTAAACTCTAATAAATCTAAGATTATTAAAGTTTCTTTATTCTTTATTAATTTTAGATTCTATCTAACCTTAGGATTTAAATCTATATAACTAGATCTCTATTTATCTATTATTATTCTAGATACTAAAAAGATTATTATATAAATAAAAGATATTACTAAGTTTATATAAAATAAAATAATATTTATTTAAATCTATTATAAAGAATCTATAAACTAATACTACTAGTCTACTTAGAATTATTAAGTTAAATAATTAATTTAATTTAGTACCTAAAATATTAAGATTCTCTATCTATAGAAAAAACTTAACTAAAAGAACCTTAGTCTATTTAAGATTCTTAAGATTATAGATTTATATATTTACTATCTAGAACTTCTACTTAGAATAAAGATCTATTTTATTTTTAATATAAACTTACTCTATCTTATCTTAGATAATCCTCTTCTAATATAAAAATAGTTCTCTCTATTTCTAATTAAAATTAAAGATCTTAAGAAATAGATTATTAAAAATATCCTAGACTCTAAATAAAAATAATAAGATTATATAAAACCCTATTTAAAGTATACTATAAAATAGTTAGATTATAAGAATCCTATAAAAAAGCTTACTAAATACTTAGAGAATACTAGAGAGATTACAAATAACTTCTACTAAAGATACTTATTAAAGCCTAGTCTAATCTAAATACTACCTTAGTCTTATAGAGCTTAGCTTTAAGAAGAGGAGTAATATTATAGTATAGATCCTTATATAAGAGAATCCCTATTCCTATTATTATATAATCTCTAAGATTATTAGAACTTCCTATTCCTATTTAATATAGCTCTTTAAGCTACATCTTAGTTAATCTTCTATCCTATAGCCTATCTGTAATATAACTCCTTCTAGTCCCCTACTTACTGTACAAGCTAGCCTACTAGCTCCTAATATATAAGTACCTACTATACCCTGATATACAGCACTTTATTATTGTTCCTTGTAGTAAAATATAATATTAATTATAAGTTATCTATCTATCCGGACTAAATTGCTCTATTTACATAACTGCTTTTTTATTAAGCTTCCAGTTAATGGTAGCTGCATAAAATAGTTCTAGATTTTGCTGAGACTGGTTGTCTGCTTTAATAGTGACAGCTGTATCTTTAGATTGAACTTGCTGGCTATTTTTCTTTTTTATTTGCAGTATTTCTTCAATTGCTGGTTTCAAAGCCTTGGTCTAGTAATCCTGAGGAGTTATAACTAACCCTTTTTCGGATATGCTGTCTACTTTCTTACAGTTAAGTATAAGCTTCTATGTAATTGTATAGCAGATATATTCTGGAGATGGCTTGTTATAGTTTATATCTTTATCCTATTTATTAAGCGGGAGAAAGCTAAGCTGGTCTGATTGGACTGGATTGGTGGTATAAACCAGGGTAGGGCTAGGAGAGAATACAGATAGTGTACGACCAAAGTAACCAGGAGTGGGGGTATATTGTGAATCTTTGTCCTATGTATGACCTGTCCGGGGTTGATAAGCATTGTTGCCACAAATGCTATTGGCTATTGTTGAAGCGGGGGAGGGAAGCCTAAGCAGATTGAATCAGAAGCGATTAGCAAACACCTCTGGCGTCCAATAAGATCCGAAAGGATGGAATGATGACAGTGGCGGGGATGATAAATAAGCCTTACTGTCGATCGAGCCTCATACAGCGTCCTGATCCCGGGCAGACACGCAGAAGAGCACCAGGTGCTCTACAGTAATGAAACCGCAAGATACAAAGAGGGACTGTTGGCAAATTGCCTATTCAACGACTACTCTGTTTGCATGCTTTGCATGGAATCTTCTAGGCTGGAAGTTCCAGCCTGGAATTCAGGGGTAAATAACTGTATATTTCATACTTGTATTATACAATTGGGGTATATATTACTTGGTTAGCTACAAAACGGGTTAATTACATACTACCCATATCTGGATTAGCGGGTCACATGATTAGGGTTTGAAACAGCTTCTCTATGTATTCGACATGGAAGGCGAAAGCGGTCGGCACACTGTAAAGTCGTTCCGATGCATCATTCGTTCCAAAGATCGTATCTTGTCTTGGGTACAGTATCCAATCCCTCTCTATGGCGCTCAATAGTGTATAGCAGCGCATCTTACTGGAAATACCGTGAATATGTTTGCCCGCTTGGGGCTGTTAGCAATTGCGCATCCTCTAGGTAGCAGTCATTCTCAAGGTTGGTCAGGCTTACCAATATATATTGGTGTTATGGCAAAGCAACGAGCGCTGGCAGGTAGCTCCGAAGAGGCAATATTGATAATAGATTTAGCATGCTCCTGGACCTTGATTTTCTATGCCTCGGTTTAGTTTGGTCATGGAGAGAAGCGGGCAATGCGCCTTACCGACAGACTACTCGACGGGCTGAACGTGTCCCCTTCTGCAAAAAGCAGAATCTGGGCCGCATGAAACCATAAAATTGCAGCAGCTATTCTGTGATCAGCTTTGAGACTCAGTGGAGACAAGCACCCCGTAGCTCACCTGAGGCAGGGACTGGGAAGAAAATTTTCTGAAATCCACTCTCGGATACCTCGCCATACGCTATACCCCGGAATTCTTCTGTGGTGGTATCATACCACTCGTCCACCTGATCTTTCAACCTTGTTCGGTCAGACGGCGACTCAATTCCCTTGTAGATAAGGTTTACAATATGGCCAATCAATAACATTAAATAGTTTGCGAGGTGATCTTCCCATGCCCTTGCCCCTGGTTTTGTGATATTCCATCTCTTTGGGTCAAATTGAAGGGGCTCCTGGTTACTCAAAGCGATCGTGATTTCATGGCGCATGTAAATGAAGAAGTTGGCCTTGTCCAATCCAATGGAGCTCGCAGAGATTCCCCGGGTGATGATCAAACTCATGGCGCCTTTGTAATGGGATTGATGAGAAGTCCTGGATGCCGCCAAAGCCTCATAACTACTTAATAAAATAGCCGCAGTGAGTGCATCGCTGTCTGGCTCTCCGCAGCTTAGCGCCACGATCATATAATTCAGTGCCTAAGTATGTCAATCAGACCAGATATTCAAGGGGGGAGCCAAGAAGTAGGGGCAGCAGTGTACTTCGCCATAATACCTGGAGGCGATCGGGGACCAAACCTCGCCCGAGACTAGCAGGGAAAGATTCCGCGCAGTAAAGGCGCAGATGCAGCGGAGCAGGAAATCTGAGTGCAAAGCACGTCTAGAAACCTCTCTTTCGTATGTTTTGTCAAAGTCGAATACGTCCATCCATGTCGCCAAGCCGGCACGGAAGGTGTTGAGCAAGGTGATCACCTCGTCGTTCAGTTCCACCGATATTCCGGATGAAGACGGGCGTGATAGTGAGCGGGATGATTGAGATGCCACAGTTGCTTGATTGGAAGGCGTCAAGGAGCTGGAAAGCTCACTGGCGCTCCCTTTGGATGACGCCCGTGTGGCCTGGGGGCTGAATGACGGCAGGAACTTGGAGAAGGTAGACGTCGAGTCGGTTTCGCGTTCCTCCCCGGGAGGTGGATCGGTAGAAAGAATGCTACTCCACGTCGACTGGGTGATGAACTCGGACGGACGGCATTGAAGACCGAGACGCTCGCAATTGTTACATACCGGGGTTTTCTCATCGCACCGCGTGTGCCTGGATTTGCAGGTCGCACTGCCATGGGTTAATGTCTTCCTGCAGCCTTCTTCCCCACCAAAGGCGCATCACTTACCATCCTAAGTTCGTCGGTCAGTCGGTCGGTCAGTGACTCCATCATCAATAACTTCATACCTGTCTTCTTCCGCGAAGTTCCACGCCTGCTGCGGTCCGTACTGCGTGTACTCCTTGCCGAGTCCATCTACTGTTTTTCAGGACTCGAATTCGAGCTAAGTGCCAGCTTCGAGGCTTTGACAGAGATTATGAGGCACCGCTGATTTTTGAGGACCCACGTTTTAAACAATGCGGCTGTCCCCGCTTCCCCGCTCCGCTTTCCCACTTCCTCGAGATACAGTGGAAACAGGGCATAAGTACAGTGGTGTCTCATAAGTATTTGACCTTAGGTACTCGGCACAAAGGACCCACTTTTAATATTGCCAGGCAGAAACTTCAGAAAATTCACTCATATCAATAGCTAGTATGCCAACCATTATACTTGATAACATCAGGCACTCTATGTGGCATAGTATCAGCTAGATGCTTGAATATATCAATACCTAGGGTTTCCCCAGGCTCCCTGGGCAGTGGTTTCATTATTTGGGAGATGCATTAGTTCAGGGTGTTGCTTAAGAATTTCAGCTTTCAAGAGCGCCCAGAGGTTCTCAATTGGATTCAACACGGGTGAATAAGGAGGCCACTCCATAAAATCACCTCCAAGCTCATTAAGTGTCTCCTGGACAAGACGGGCTGTATAGACAGGTGCATTATCTTGTTGAAAGATAGCATTCTGATTAACACTATTTAGAAATTCAAATTATAGTATGCATCATTTGGAACTTGTCCTCTCACCAGGACATCGGATAGACCTTTTCTTGAACAGAGCTGAGAAAGTGCCGCGAAAAAAAAGCTAAGAAGAAGCCAAGGAGTGAATGGTACCCTTGGCAATACGCGTGTAATATTTAAAATACCACAATCTTGGAATTTGTGGCGTGGCAGCCTTGCGGGTTAGCTTAAACACTCAACCAGAACCAGGTTAGTGGTGCAACAGGCAGTCCTAGTCCAACCCCCCTTGAATAGTTAATTGGCCACTCTATTGAATAGAAGGCTACGGTGTAGGTACTGGCTGCCTTACTGTGACGCATAGATGTCAAGAGTACCCTGGGGTTGATGCAATCACATAATGAATATAGATGCATCCACCTTTTGGTAGAAGAGTAGACTTCTTCAGTCTAGTGTTTTCGTTCAATACTACAGGACCGTTAATCCTCTCGCACACCTCTTGAATCACATGGGGTGAGAATCACGGCGGGCCCCCGTCTTGGTACTAGTGAGCCTCCACTTGACTAGGGACGGAATGCCTATCTAGTGGATCCCGGAAAAGACTCATCTAAGAGACCACAACGTCATCGCCCATAGATTAATCACAAGGCATAAGCGAATCATAGCGCTACGTGTTGCATGGGTTGGCAAGGCGCTGCGCACGGATACTCCACTCCCGCCCCGTCTCTGGCTCCACCAACGCGAGTATACAGGTAGACCTTGACAAGTGTCGGAACAGCAGCAATGGATCTCGGAAGAAGGAAATACTATAGATCCGAAGTATTGGTCATTATTTTGCCCACCTAAATTACTACGGGCTTGCTATATAGGAATCAGATACGTTAATATTCTATTAGTATATCTATATTCTCCACTTAGTAATTCCGACAGTTATAAGCCCAGCTCGCTAGTAAGAAGGCTATATTTGTTAATTAAAGCTATATATAAGGTATATCTATAGTAGCTATCTAGCTAGATATTTACTCTTATCCCTAAAAGAAAGTTTAATTAAACTACTATAGAAGAATATAAGTAATATAGATTTAACTATAGTCTCTACTATTGAGATCTTTAGGTGCGAACGGGCATGTATTGCTAAGTTAGGGGAAACGATAGTTGTAATGGTTACTAAGTTGTCAGGCTAGAGACCTGTGACTAGGCAAGGATATCGGATGGTAGAGATCAAATAGAACAGTTAATATACAGAACTGATTCTTGCAGGACAAGAATCGTAACTATTGTTCATACGTTTTAATATTGCTAGAGCTTGCTAGGGCTTAGGGCAGTTATGTATTAGTAGGTATATTGTAGTAGATTCGCCTACAGAGTAGCTATGAATCGTACCCGAATTGTGCCCGAAGGGATTCAGGAATCCTGTAATAATTTATCCTCCCCTTTTAATAATGGTTGACTCGACCATCTGCACGACTTATATTTAATTAGGTAATTTATATTTAGTAGTATTATATTAAATAAAGATTCTAGGACTAATACTACCTTAGATATCTTTATATATAGATATAAACAAAGCAATATAGGTTCTTTAATATCTTTGAGATGAGAGCTTCTCTCTTATCTTTTTAACTCTTATCTTTTCCCTTTTCTTAGCTCTTAATTCTTAACTCTCTATCTTCTTACTCTCTGCTTTTATCTTGTTTTATTTTAATATGTCTGAGGCTGCTGCTTCTAGTATTTTCGGTGATCCTTCTTGCTATGGTAGTTGTTGTATAACTAGAGATAAAGATTAGGCTAGAGATAGAGATAACGGTAATAGTAATAGAGGTAATAGGATTAATAGAAGTAATAGAAGTATTACTAGTACTTCTACTAGCTTATATCCTCTTTATGATTAAATTACTTATCCTTCCTTTATATTCTATATTAGATATATTGCTAAAATAGCTTTTTACTCTCCTAAGGATGTTGTTTCTAAGATCTATTGTAACTAGGATTATATAAACTTAATTACTTATACTTTATATAATAAGTATAGTAAAAATTACTTTTAGGTAAGGTTCTTCTCTAAGTTATATTTAATTTGGTGCTAATTTATCTTAGATACCTTATAGAATTTATAACAATTTGTATTAGCTTTAGTTAATTCTTAATTAGATATATAAAGTTTAAAATAGTAGTATTACTATAGTGGTTATTAGTAGTATTATATTTATTTAGAATAAGGAAAGTAAAGCTATAACTATAGGGGGGTCTGTTTGTCTCCTAGTATCTTTCTAAAAGATAATCTCTATTTATCTTTCTAGTTATAAGCTCTATTTCGATTCGCGGAATATAGACTAAGCTGTAGGGGTATATACTATGTTTGTTATTGAGTAATAAAAAGAGTTAAATATTAAGACTAGTTTATCTTTTACTTAGTCTTCTTACTATCTTAATAATCTTTTGTATCTATAGATTAGTAATACTAGTTTTACTCTCTAGTAAAGTAATATTTAATCTTTCTTTATAGAGATTATAGTAGGATATTAGTATAATATAACTCTGATTAGGATTATTTTAACTCTAGCTATAATAGTGATAATTACTAATATTAAGGCACTTATAGTTTAATATAGAATTCTATAGTAATTTATTATTTTTACCTTACTTATCCTCCCCTTTTTTAACTAAGTAGCCTTATCTGGTGTGGCTTTTCTTTATCTAATATTGATTTAAAGGTGATTCAAGGGGGTTTTAGGGGGTTTTTAGTATCGTTAGGATACTATTTTATAAGCTCGGTTTTTCTTAAATAAAGCTATTATATCTTTTATATTTTCTAAGTATTCTACCGATTTCTATTAGTTATATTCTAAGGGCTATTCTATTTATTTTATATAGTAATATAGTACTCTATTAAAGACTCTTTTATCTTAAATCTCTTTAACTTCTTATTCTTTTTTGTCTTTAAGTTCTAGTATTAGTATTTATAAGTTATTATTGTTTTAGCTATTCTATAGTTCAAAAAGAGAGATAGAGAAGATATTATATAATCTTAAGTATTTTTCTAGTAATATAATATAATAAGCCTAGACACTAATTTTTATAAGGATACAGAAAGGCCTAATTCAATAGGGGGATAGCTTCTTTTCTTTAGCTTTAAAGTAGAGATTCTTTATTAAAAGGGATATAAAGGTTCCTACTTTAAAGTCCTTTAGCTTATAATTTTTATTATAGGATCTCTATTATATTTCTTATATAATTCAAAGCTTATTTATAGCCTTTTTATAAATATTCTAAAGGTAATTTACTTATTCTTTAGTATTAGAGGCCTCTTTCTTAAGTATTTCATTAGGAGTTTAGATTTAGAAATTAGGGTTATATCTAAGTAATATACAAAAAGAGATCTTATTAGTTAATATATTAATAATATTATTATATATAAATTATATTATCTTAAAGAGTTAAGCCTAGTTTAATTATTTCTTATTAATAAAATATTTAAGATAATCTTCTAAAATCTAGTTAAGTCTTTCTATTTATCTATTAGTTTAGGGATAGAATATAATAAAGAACTATAGTTTAATCTTAGAATAGTAATAGAGTTATAACTAGAATCTACTTATAAAAATAGGCTTTTAATTAGAGATAATCCTTTCTAGATTTCTATATTTAAGTTCAATTTAATTAAAGAAAAGTTTAATAAGGTCTTCTATAGATATTATTATTAATATAGAGAGAAATTAAAAGAATTTTATAAGTTAATAGACAATTACTAGGATTATATTATATTTCTTTCTTTTAAAGATTATAATTAGAAGTCTTATAATAAAGTCTATACTTAGCTCTATAAATAGTCTATAAGATATAGGAAAAGGTTAGAGTTCTCTATAAGGATAATACCTAGATACTTTAACTTTTTAATATATTAAATATATTTTAATATATTCTTATATATCCTTTAGTAAATATTCCTAATAGAATTTCCTTTTTAGAAGTTCTTCTATATATATTCTTTTAAAATATCCTATAAGTTACTTATTATAATAAAGCTTAATCAGTTTTTACCTTAGGTTCCTAGTAATAGGAATATAAAGATATCCTTTATAATACAAAAGTTTCTTAAAATCAATACTCTAATACTTTCCTTATAGAATATTTTCCTAAGTTATATTAATTCTCTCCTAGACTATCTTATCCTTATCTTAAAGTTCTTTAATTAATAATTTTAGTTCTCTTAGGGATTTATCTATAAGTAGATCTTTATTTATAATTACAATAACTACTATTCAAAGGAATACAAATTAAGAGCGACTTAAAACCTTATAATATATTATATTATAACCCTAACTTAGGAAAAACTTAGTTATATTATAGCCTTAACTTAAGAAAACTTCTTTATTATCCCCTAGATCTAAATAATTAGCTTCACTAGACTTATCTATAGCC